CAAATTGCTAATTCTTCGAACAAACCATGTTTATGAGCTATAAACATTCAAGGCATATAGGATCGTGATCAGTGTTTTAATTCAAAAACTAACTAAAGTTCGTCTTACTATGTAAATTGCTGTGACCTCTAACACTGCTCTTTGAGTTGTCAGTAATCATACGTCGATTGCTAGCGTCCTTCACTGAAAAAGAGCTACTACTGATCTTCAGTGCCATGCCGCCATGCCAGCCGTTGCGAAGGTCACGCAAATCGAAAGCAAATTAATTAAGCGCTGGGAACGTAGCTGAACGTATTGTTGATTCGATCCGCGCACGAGCTAAGTAGCACGATCGAGCGAGTGTCTACATTTCAGGCCCTTCGAAGCATGTGACGATGATTTTCATTACGGTTTACAACGACGTCCTCGCTTACAACCCACGGGATGAAAAAGGAAAAAGGAAGGTGTGTGTCATGTCAATTGTGCTTCACTTATCATTGTAGTTGTAGTCAGGCTGTCTTCGATCTTCTTCGATTTGAAACTAGTGAATTTCCCATAAACACACTTAAAATATTTTGCTATCACTAACGACACCGTGAATGGCTTCGATCCATGTCGCATTTACGGTATGAAAATATGCTTTGAGCAGCAGCATCATGTAATTATAAATAACTTCTAGTTTTCTTTCGTGAGTCATAACATAATGCGTGGCAGTTTGTAAATAACTAAAGAATTTCAGTTCCATGTTTCACTTGTTTTGATGCCTTCGCTTCACTGAACGCGGGCCAGTATCGTGGAACGTTCGTGATAGTATTTTGTAGTTATATAGAAAATCATTTGGTAAAATTGCGATGCTATCATTAAATTTCGTGGTGCAATTATTATATTGATCAACATTTGGTTGTACGCCTGTTTGGAGTTTACTAAAACCATTATTCAGCCACGGGCTTCATGCTAAATGCGAACAATTTTGTTGTTACTGACTCTAGGCTAGTTCAAACGGCTTGTTCCAGCACTAGAGAAAATCCTAGCAAATTCAAACAGAAAGGAACTCGCGATGTTTGGTTAAATTAGTGCCCTAAAAACAAACTACACCGCTCTCTATTTTGAAAACTTTTGATGCTACGCGACACGCGACATCAGTGGAAACAGAAAATGTCGCGTGATTTCCATACGAAGAAAGAAATATTAACGACCCTCATTGAATAGCAGCGTTCGAGTCTTGAAAGGTTAAATTATTGGTACTTTTTTTTCACATGTTTTTGGCTTTATTGAGAATTACTGGCTTTCTTATGAGTTATAAAATCCAGGCCACGAAATGTCACGAAATGTTGTCGCACCCACCCATACATTTTGTACAAAGGCTAGTATTTCATTTTACAGTTTCCATGTCACGATTAATTTACGACCCCTTGAGCACATACATACACAGGCGCTCCTGTCAATAATTTAACCTGTTAATTGGGTCTCTTTAAACATGTATCGATCGGGTTTGCAATATTAAAGCAGTAACTGATCCTCAGTTTAGAGAATCGTATTTAGAGCCACAACTTGCTCATCAGGGGTCTCGGAAAATCTGGATTAGATCTGAAAATCTTGTAAAACTTTGTTACGACTCTCGAATTTTCATTTCCGTTTCTTGTCCTCCCTCAAATTTTAGATACTCTCGAAAACTGAAACGAAGTTTCGGCTTCTTGCCGAGCGTCAGATTGAACACTCAGTCCTCGCGCCTAATATGAGGAAAGATGACTGAAGAGTGACAGTTTTCTTTTGTTTAAAGGCCGGTATTACGTTATTTCAGCGGTATTAAACTGCATAAATTTGCTCTTCTGGTGAATTAGGACACCTGTACACGACAACGCCGTCACGCTGCGAGCTTTGTTTTTTTCCTTTTTTAATAACAAAAATGGTTTTATTCCATCGTTTTCGTCATTTTACTTTGCCAAAAAGCCTCGAAGATGATGTTTGTTGCAAATACTTTGCGTTCGAAAGAGGAAGGAACGTATTTGAGCCGTTTAAATCTGTTATAACATACTTCCTATTCAATCATGACATGCACATGGAGGCTAATTGTTCTGCTGTCACCTTCATGTAGTCTGGTTGGCATGCGCCGGGTGTCTGTAAAATAATTGTTCAAGGTGTTGTCTCCAAGTTTCATTTTCACTTGAACAGCGGTAACTAACAATACATTTGAAATATGCAAAAATGCTAGCTATTGTTGTGCACGAAAACATGAAACTTGGAGACAATACCCTGGATAATGAGAGGCTCTCACTAGTAAACACAAAATTACTGACAAAATATTAGCGAATTGTAGCCCTTATTTTACAGCCTTACAATATATCAATAATCTTCAAATTAAGAGGTCATATAAAAGGAAGGTTAATCTCAAGAATCTTAAATTTTTTAAAAAAATCTATCGAACGGTTTAAAAATTATTCGCTAATTTGTTAAAGTAGACCAAAATGTTTACAAACCGCTAACAAGAGCGCTTCGATACATACTAATCAAATGCTTCTTTCTAGCAGTGGGCTGGAGCTATCTCCATGATCTTTCACACACGTTTTTACAACGATTGAAACTACTACGAAGTGAAATTGCTTGTCAAAAACGCTTCAATTTCTACACATAACAGCCGAATATCAAGATTATCCATTTTTTTTACCGTATTTCTAACGATAAAAACTTTATTCCAAAATATCTCGACAACGCTCTGACAGATTTTGCATCAAGGCCGCTATTGGAGGAAAAAGCTCCCGTGAACGATTTTGGAAGGACAGTTCCCAGTGACGAGAAATACTGCTGCAAGTAAAATAGGTAATAACGTCATTTCGTTGCTATGACAACTCTGATGTCATTGCAACCCCGATCATAACAAATTGTCATCTTTAGCCTTGCTCGTTGAATTGTTTCATGTTAGCAATTTGATTCAAAAAATTATTTAAGGTGGCTCGATACAGTTTTTTAGGGTCAATACCTCGCAAGTTTGAGCATAAACTACCTCGCCATAAACAAAGATTTGGAAAAATGGCCACCACAGCTGAAAACTAATGTTCACACAAATTTTCGCTTCAAAAGCGTTCTTGGTTTTGTGTTAGAGTAGGGTTGAATTTCTAAGCTTTTGCGTGACGCGGATTTTACATGACGGCCGAGAGAGCTGTAATGTAGGTTAAAAAAGTGTCTTATTTCGGGTAATTTTGCTATTTAAACGGTTAATGTATTAGAAAAAGTATTACTTTAATGTTTATGAGTTACTCGAGGGATAAATTCACGCATTTGTAGCAAAACTTGGTAGCAGATGTTTCTGTTGGTTTCCTTCCGCCATGTTGGTGCCCATCCAGGTGGGTACCAGCTTGGCGTCTCCATACAAATTCCTATAAATTTGGGTAAAACATTTTTTTTGATATCTCGTATACGAAATAATTCTCTGATCCGAATCTTGGCGAGTGTCTTTGTATATTTAACTCCTTTCCTTTCCCAGATTCTGGCCTTAAACTATTGAACAGTTTATATTTTTATTTTTGATCTATGTTGAATGGCGTGACAATGAAAACCAGCAATAAAGCTACAGAAGCCTTAACTCTACCCAACTGCAACAAATGCTGTCCCGACTGTGGTCGTCCGTTTGTACAGCTTCGATGTTCTTTTAACATTGATGTGAATGATCACTTTAGGGGTCAGCCATAATACAGTCAAACATGTATTAAGCGAACCTCTGTTTAGCGGTCACCCTCTATTAATCAGTCACTTAATTAAGTCCTGGAAATAATTTCCCTCAATTATTAGAAAACTGACCTGTTAGCGGGTACAATTAAGGGGATGTTTCCTTTTGGTGCATCTCCGCGGTGATTTTTCTTTCATGAAAGTACGTATGTCTAATTAGAGTTTTTGATTGATGACAAAGCCTTGTTTGAGGTGCGCACTTTTCTCAGTTTAACATTTTTTTGACCTCATTTTGGCTCTTCGTCCATATTTTCCAGGCAATGACTACCTTACTCATTTTTAACCATTTTAGGCGTGTTTTCATCACTTTTCACCCGAATTCATGGCAGCGGAAAACTTCAGTTAGACTTACAGGTGTTTTGGTGGGTAAAAAACTATTGTTCTAAATTCTGTCTTGTACTGTGAACTGCATTGTATTTGCCCTCTGAGGTTTTCGATCACGTCCGTAGTTAATTTCTGGAAAAGTCTGAGACAATCATTTTCGATGAAGAAGCTTAGCACCCTCTGGAAATCTACAACAACGTTAGATTTTCAAACTGTATATTGTACTGTATATTGTACTGTATGTCTCTGTTATTATCAAAACTTGTATACAAGCAGTTACTTTGTAATTTTTATATTGGTCACCTCGTTTTATGTTGCCTGGACATCAAAAGCTTCATAGCGAAAATTAGGGCTAAAAGATCCCTTTGACAAAACAATTAACTCGAAGGTTCAGTGCAAATGAATCTTCTTTAACCAATCACAGAAGACTTGCGTAAGCCTTAATTTGAGTTGGAAAGATGGGTTGCTGGTCAGTATAAAATTAGGGAGTGACAACGATACCATATTCAGAGAGTGCGTTAATTCCTGATACTGCAATATAAAGTTGTATGATCCTAGTTGAAGATTAAAGTAAGTATAAAGAAAGAAGTCACGTCCCATTTGTTGATGAAGAACCAGCTAGTTCTCTATAAAAATTTCTTCCAACAATATTTCTCTAGACTGTTCACAGTCTCCTATTTTCCCGTGAGATGGAGATTGAGCGCTTTGGGTTACGAGCAGCCGTCTTGGATGAGTGTCAAAACTGTTTAGGGGGCGGGCGTGGTTTGGGCCTTTTGGCTTTCTCGCTTCCTCTCAAACTGCCCCCTGCCCCCTAAGTATTTTTTTTTTCAACCAAGATGCCTGCCCGTAGCGCAAAGCGCTCGATCTCGACGATCTTACGGAAAAATAGAGGACTGTGAACAGCCTAATATATATTTCACTCCCACACGATCTTTAGATTTTTGAATAGCTCTTGGGCGGTGTGTTGAACCCTAGTATTAATTGGTCACGCTCTTTTAAGCGTCAGTAAATGGGTGACAACTTAATACAGGTTTGCCTGTGATATGAAAATGAACATTTCAGGGGCCGGTCAACCATTTTATATCATACTTTTGTTGATTCTTTTTAGTGCTTGTTGGCAGATGACTCGGTAACCAAAAAACATGAACTTCATTAAGTCACATTTGAAGAAATCATATTCCGTGTGTCGTTGCAGTCAGTACAAGACAGTCGGTGCTTTTTTGGTATGCTTTATCATCATTGCGTTGTTTCTAAAACTGAACGTAATGACTCCCGGAATGTACACTGGAAACAAGCCCTGGAGTCCCGCACCAAAATGCAAGAATTCCGAACAAGACCTTAACCGCATGGTTCAATTAACACACAAGGTGCAAGACATCTTGAAAAATATGGGAATCGATTGCTGGTTGATGTACGGCTCTTTATGGGGACCGTTACGAGGTATTGAGGGTCCCCTCCCGTGGGACAATGATGTCGATCTTGCCATAAATGGTGATGGTATTTTTAGCCAAATGACCTTTAGACAGTTTAAAGCCATGTTTACTGTTCCTGGACTAACGGTGGAAAGTAGGCTGTGGCAGAGTTCGTTAATTGTCATTTCCGAGGGAGGCGCGTGGCCCTCACTGGATCTGTTTGTGTTTTATAACTACGGTGGTACTATGAAAAGACCTGGTTTCGAATCCTGGTTGTTGCCGATCAACTACAAACTTTATCACACATTTCCAGCTCATTTAGTCGAACAGCCCTTGCCCAAAGTGAAGTTTGGATCCTTCAATATTTCAGTTCCCAGAGATGGCATTGAAATCATGAAACATTTGTATCCGTATAATTGGTGGAAGGTAGTGCGACCAGTAGGTTGCAATAATTAACAAATAGAGCCTATTTTGGTCAAGAGATTAGAGAATAATTAGTCCCTGCGTTGCCTTAGCTCGAGGGGTGACAGGGGAGACCATTCTGGGCGTGGTTTAGGCTTTATTTGGCCCTAAAACACGAACAGGGGGTGTTCCCTGGTTTTGGGGAAACCGTTGTTGTTTTTCTCTTGTGTTGTAGTGTGGGTATTAGAGACCTGAGGATTCTAAGACGAGTTGGACTACGCTAAGTAGTGTGCGGGAGTGGACAAGCGTCATTTTGGCGGGAAAACGTGATAGCCGTTGTCATTCGTCTGCGAGTTCAAATGTTAAAATTTTTATCGTTTTGTGATCGGGATAACAAAAAACAAAAACAAAAAACAACAACAACCAAAAACTCCGTTGAACCTTTCCGGGTAGTCCCTCAGTCAGTCGAGTCTAAGCTCGGCAGGACTGGAGAGAGCGAATTGGCCGAGATGGTCACGCGAGCGAGGAAATCGAGCGAAGCGAGCGAAAGCCTAGGGGAAGCTGCGCCTCTCTCCAGTTTCCCTCTCGGCCAATTCGCTCTCTCCAGTCCTGCCGAGCTTAGACTCGACTGACTGAAGAGGGACTGCTCGCAGTCTACTTTCCGGGGTGTCTATTTTTTTTGAGAAGACACAAAAACCTTTAAGACAAATCTCGTTCTCGTGGTCGTCCCTGTTCTCGAATCTAAAGGTCTCTATTGCCGGAGTGTGATGAATTATGACGGTAGTTGATTTACTTTTTGTTATAGATTTCTTTACAAACTACCCATAGTGTTGCCAGATTAATTGTTCAAAGGTGGGTTAGGATAATCCAGGATAATTCAGTGCGAAGTTTGAATTCAGATTCGATAGCGTAAAAAGCAATAATTCAATTCAATTCATTTTGTCTACAACTTGTTTATTGGGTGCTCTTAAATGAACAGAGAAAATTATCCGAGATAATGCTTTTGAACGAAAGAAGCAAAACGGTGCCGGAGGATTCAAATTCATTTCTTTTGGGTGAGGGAAGTGGGTTAGTGCAATACTGTGAAATCTTGTTTATGCATTATAGAAAAATAGTTAGATCTAGATATTTTTAAACGATAAAAAACCGGGAAGAAGATTTGACGTCTCGATGTCATCATAGACCTGTTGACAGTCCCCTATTTTTCCGTAAGACTGTCGAGAACGAGCGCTATAGGTGGCCACCTTGACCAAGTCTTTGCCTCATGGAATGGAATCCAAGACAGTCTTGGACGGCTAGGTTATACTTTGTATATTCCGGATTCCAGTCTTTGTCTGTGGAACTTGGATTCCGGATTTCAATGTTCCGTGGGATTCCGTATTCCTTGAGCCGTATTCCAGATTCCAAAGCCCAGGATTCCGGACTCAACAGGCAAAAGTCTTTCGGATTCTGGATTCCACAAGCAACAATTTGGTGGATTCTGGAATCGGATTCCCTTATATGGTGCGTAAGTCTAGCTTGAAGATGACTATCTCATCTACTTAGGGGGCCGGGGACGGTTTGGGAAGAAGCTTTAAACCCCGACGCACGCCTCCTCGGCAAAGTTGAAACCAGTTAAAAAATGGCTGCTAGTGATGATGAGCGCTCGACCCCGACCATCTTACGGAAAAGTAGGGGAACGTGAACAGTCTACTCTCATCATGACGCCGTTGTCAAGGTAACTACCAAAAGAAAAACTGAACTCATAAGGGAAGACAAGTCGTTCACCAAATTGTCATTCGTTGATACGATCATTGTTATCAGTGTTAATTTAGTGAACAATTGTTAATTACCATGCGAGCAGCTGTTTTTCCAAGCTGGACGCTACGCTACAAAGGGAGAGAAACCACTGCGAGCAACCGTTTGCTTTATTGATCGAGCCGTCTTCCAACGACCTGGACGAATAAATTAAATTTGAACAGGTAAAACCTGTTTAAAAACAAGTTAAGGCTCTCGCGCATTGCTTACGCTTATAACTGCTGCCTCAACGCGAACCTGCTGTGAATTTGCGCTCTTTCAGTCTTAATCGCAATTATTCTTACCCACGACTTACTTTGCCAAATCTAGGCGAACCAAACTGTAGTTGAATTCTTCGGGACCATATCCAGGCTCAGAAAGAGAAAAAAAATTTCGTCGTTGCTCGTCAAGGTTCTCCATTTAAAACGCGAAGTTAGGCAATTCCACTTCGTGGTCGAGCAAAAACAGCAAAGAAATGTACAAAAAAGTGTGATGAACGTGCACAGTTGTTGTTTTGCATTGTGAATCAATTGTTTGTTTGTTTGTTTTTTACTTTCTCGTTGCCGTCGGGTCATTGGATCTAAAAATCCCTAATGTTTCTTGCAAAACAAGTGAAAGTGATCTCACCTGACGTTTTAAATTAGGCTTCATGTGGACGCGCATGCTCAGTAGAAAAGCAAACGGTTGCTCGTAGTGGTTTCTCTCCCTTCGTAGTGTCTGGTCTGGAGAAATCACTGCTTACAGGGGATTGAACAATGCTTTTCTCACGCGAAACGTTTCTAGCTTTCTTAGTTACCTTCAGACAGTGGCGCCATGGTAACCCCGAAGCGTCAGTTTTTCTTGTCGATTTGTCCACTCAAACGATTAACGAAATTGGAATTGCCGCTGATTTGCGCGCTCGACAAACAAAACCGCCAGCTACGTAAGCTAAAGAAAAACTTGATTATCTCCTGTCTTCTCTAAATCATATCCAGTCTCCTCCCTGGCAATAGTCCAGTTTCGAATTCGTCACGACCGCTGAATAGAAGCACTGTAGAGTCATTTATACAGGATTAAGCCTCGACCCATAGTAAAATATTCACAAATACCGGCGAGAAGGTACCTGAATTTGAGTTTAAAGCAATAGACACAGTTGTACACAGGTCTTTTTCAGACTGGAATTTGTCAATGTAATTTATTTACTTTAGGTCGAGGCTAACCCTGTATAAATGAGTATTCAGTGCTTCTATTTAGAGGCCGCGACAAATTCGAAACTGGACTATTATATATGTTTGGGGCGAGAAGGCTAAACACAATGATTGTTATCAGAAATGTGGAGGGTTGACCGTAGACCAATCAAGGAAACAATTTGCAAAAATTAGGAAAAATACTTCAAAGCCAAAGTTTTATTATTTTCGATCACAGCTTAGCGCAAATTGGCCGAGAAATTCTGAACTTTAACGGCCGCCATAGCATTGTATTTGCAGCTTTTTTTTGTAATATCATCTTAGTTGACATTTGTAGTTGCTTTCAGCGAAAACTTTTCTCGGGTATCACAAACTTCTAAATATAAGCCAGTCCCATAAAACATGTTAATTGAAGTCAATGAGCGCGCACGAAAATGTTGCAGCACCTGCCTCGTACCCGTACCCAGACGTGTCTCTCTCGAAGAAAATTTGCGCGCAAGGGAAGGCGGTATTTTCTCTTTCCCATGGTCCTTTGCGCTTCGTCACCAGTCACTCGCGTGTCGCTCGCGTTTCGCGCTTGCCTCTGTGCGAAAAACGAAGCGCCTGAGGACCAGGCTGTTGCAACACTCTAGCGGAAGAAATAGACTCTGGTAGAGCAAAAAATACATCTGGTGAAATTTTAATTAATCAATATACATCAATAGTATTTGGGCAACAAGGGAAAACTCTTTGATCATAGAGTTTTCTAAAGTATGAGCCAGTTTTTGTCTCGTCACGCAACTCTCTTTTTCAAAAAATGAGGAGCTTTGCGTGACGAGACAACAACAAGAAGAGAGTTTTATTTGCATGATCATAAGAATTTATAGAATTGCAAAAGCGAAAATAGATTTTAAAAATATTTAAAAAGTGGTATTAGTGCTACTACTTAACTATCGTCCTTGATAATAAAAAAAAGAATCATTGGTACATGATCAAAACAAAAAAATAAATAACAAAGAATTGATTACATTAAATTATATAACACCGAGTATGTTTGATTGACAAAATAGCAATTAACCCTCGGACGGACAAGGGGAAGGGGGCGGGGGGTGGTGATTTTTTCCTATACGATAAAACATCAGCACCTGAAGTTTTCTGTAGCTGTTCGTTTATCCTTCGCGCGCTTTTTGAGACAAGTTTACTGATGGTCAAAATTGAGGAGTGAACTGCATTAATTCTAGTAAAGATGAATCAAACCAAGCGTTTCTGAAGTCACACATTCCAACGCACCGTGGTTTGTATTTTTGTTTGACCCTCGGACGTACATGCAAAGTGATAACCCCACCGGCGTATAAAGGGGGGTAGGGGTTGAGGGAACCCTCTTGGGTTTTTGATACGCTGCAATGTTTCGAAACGATTTTGCCTTCGGTGGAAAGCCTTCGATTTTCTCTACAAACCTTCATCAGTAAAAAACCAAAGATTATAAGATAGATTTCTGATGTCTTGACAGCATTTGTTTTTTCTTTTCGTTATTATCGTACTCTGAATACACACACATACGGCAAGGTGCTTCCATTTTCTTGGTTAAAAGTACTGTGAAATGATGCTAAAAATAAACTGATCTGTGAAAACGACGTTGCATAGGCCAAGTATAGGAGCTGCACCCTCCGGATTATGGATTCCTGACAGTGTATATAACCCTGTAACTTGATTTCGGTTATCTCGAACTCTCCACCTTTAGACTTTGATAGATTGTGCTCGCAATTGTGCTCTATTTACATCTGGAAAATTTTAGAGTGCATATTAATTCATTGCCTGACAACTATAAAAACTCAAACAATTCTAACAACCGGCAGGCTACCGGCACGAGGGCGCCATCTTGTGTAACCGAACGAGTTGTGCGCATGCGTTGAGCCCTCTCATGAACCCTATCATAAGCAGACAAAAAATTATTTTGTCACTCAAAGAAATTTGCCTGTAACACTGATCTCTGTTACATGATCAATAAATGACAATTTTGTGCTGGAAAACTAGCCAAAAGTGCAATTTATGGTGGCATTGCTTTTATTCGGAAAATAGGTGAAAATTATGTTCGTGGTGACGAATTATACCAAAAATTATGCTAGCACAATCTATCAGGGCCTATCCGCTACAACTTCAACTTAATTTTGCCCTGGGAAAAGGTTGGATTTAACCCCCTTACTCGAACTGTTTCTTAGTTTCCTTTGCAGTTCGAATCCAGGTGATATTTAGTCAGTCTCGTGGTAATCTCTTAGTCTGTAAGGAAATGACACCCGAAAAAATGAAATCGGCAAATTTTAATTTCCCGCACAACCAGTTTAATAGCAAAGAAAGCGTCGTCTTCTTTCTGCTGGCCTGCGATCATGCCCTCTCCCTTTATCTC